TCTCTTCCCCCCCCCCCCCGAATATGAGTTTGCCCCTCAAATGCCCCCCCTCCCTCCCAAATTCTGAGGCCTCGCACCGCCACTGACTGTGCATTATGTTGTTTTGAGCGCCGCACTGAAACAGGGAACAAGAAATTCGAAAAGAATAAGCGCAGGCCTGGGCCCCAAGAGTGCGGAGCCCGTGGAATATATGCCGCTTCTGCCATATGGTAAATCCGGCACAGTGTGTTGGGTGTCCAAATGATATCGAAAAAAGGCCCGATCACTATAAAAAATCCAATCAGGGTGCAATAATGTAGCCTGTGTACAGACTGTATTATATTGTCAGCATTTATACACTTTATGAAAATCTGTGGCATTGCTTGTTGACCTCCAGCAGTGCTACCCAGATCTGAGTAGTTGATTCTGATTGGTCATGACTGAACTTAATGGATTGTGATTGGCTGGACTTAAATATCAAATGAATGAGCTTTGCGAATCGAAATAATATATTATGTTCTTGACACTTGATGTTCACTGTCTGTAAATTTTGCATTTGGATCTTAGCTGAGTCTGAGGAACAGTAGTTGTCCCAGGCCACCCCCTCGGTCATCTGAGCTAACACCTCACCATCCAATCACCTCTAATTGCTTCAAATTACTATTAAAATTTTTGATGAAAAAACTGCTTACAGTCTAATGAAATACATCAAGGAGTTGAAAATAACTCTTGAGTGTGATATGTTATTTTTTCTGTTATTCAAAGCCAGGGCGTAAAAAAAATACCTGTGGTTCCGGTTCCCGACCGACCCTATTTTTTTCTGCCGACCCTATTATTTTTTCAACGCGATTGACCTATTTTCTCCAGGTGGTTGCGGGCTGCTCGTACAGCGTGCCAAAATGGCGTCTGTTGTCACAATAATTATTGAACCAAATTGCCTCAATTCGTCCATAGGAAATACGCACCTCTAGTTAATATTGATGTCGGGACTCACTGCAAATCGCCCAGCGAAAAACCGGCAAAACCATGAAAAAAATATTCAAAAAAAAAGTTATTTCCGACCTACCGACCTTAATTTTTTCACGATATGAAACCGGAACCACAGGTATTTTTTTTTACGCCTAGTGAGAATTGTGTTGACTTTTGAACTCACTATCATGACCAAACAGAATCAGCAATCCACGTCTGGGTAGCGTGACTGGGCGTCGACACATGTACCGATAACATGTCCGTAATTTGGGTATTACAGTATGGCGCCCGGGGGGGGGGGGGTGAGCTTGTTTTGGACAACCGAAAGGGTGTGGCAGAAGTCGTGCCCGATGGACATTTCAGGGGTTAATGGACCTATTCCCTATTAATGTACAAAATTTTGATCTAGACAAAGTCTAGACAGGAATTTCATCACAGCTTTAAAGAGCATCACAAAATTAGTAATATTCCGAAGTTGCGTTGCGAAATGTTGTAAAATGCGGATAATATAGCCCTACGAAGTTTGCCGTTTTTCAGTCATTTTGTATTACGCACGGGAAATTGATACCGCTTTCTGAAAAAAGGTATCAATTTCCCGTACGTAATACAAAATGACTGAAAAACGGCAAACTTTGCAGGGCTGTATTATCCGCATTTTACAACATTTTGCAACGAAAGTTCGGAATATTACTAATTTTGTGATACTCTTTCAAGCTGTGATGAAATTTTTGTCTAGACTTGCATGTCTATAGATCAAAATTTTGCTCATTTGGGAATAGTCCATTAACATACCATTTTCACTATTAACTTACAGAAATTTGTACAATTTTTCAGTAATATTTTCCTAAATTTATAAAAAAAATTCCTACAAAATTTTTCAACAAATCTTGTAAAATTCTTTGCTGAATTACATATTTTTTTTTGCCCATCGAGCGTGTCGTGTTGCTCGACAAAACTACAATTTATTTTACAACATTGGGGGGGGGGGGGTATCGCACCTTTATTTTGTGTAGAACATCTTTATTTTGTATAGAACATTTTTATTTTGGACTTGCCCAAAATATTCCTTGCAATAACCTATTACCACCTTCTTGCTCTATAAAAATATTGCATGCATGATTCTGCCATTTGTCACCGAGTTGCCTCCAGATGAGGGTAGCTTGTCAGAGGGCCCCCTATACTTTTTGCGTGAAGCGTGAAGGGCTTGTTTTACTTAGCCGTGAAACGTGATCAGGCCCCCTATACTTTTTGCGTGAAGCGTGAAGGGCTTATTTTACTTAGCCGTGAAACGTGATCGATGATTTTCTTAATCCGTGACTCGTGAAAAGGCAAAATAATTTTACGTGAAAGCATATTGTGAAGAGGTATAGGGGGCCCTCTTGTCAATGTCACCTTGCTTCAATTCCTAAAGACCTAAGTGTAAAGCAGAGATTTAGGACAACCAAATCAATATAAGTTAACTTATTGAACCATAGGCAGGTTTAATATTAGCTACCCGTACC